TAGAGCCACAGATATATCGCATACAACCTTGACTGCTTTCTCAGTGGTTGAAAGACGATATTGAGTGTCATTCAATTCCATAAATTCACCTTGATTCATGAATTTCATGAAAGCTGTCATATTCTGTCTCAAAACTGCAGACAACTTACCAAGCCCCTATTTGGGCACAACTTTTTAGAACTTGCATTTTCCAAAATCATTTTCAGTCACCTATCCTCTCATAAAATAATGTTACACGGAAATTTAAATTTTTTTCTTATTTTTGAACCACACATTCTTAAAAAAAATCACTATTCCAAAAAACATTTTTCCCCAAAATCTCATTTTAATGGAGCTCAAACAACTGCAAAAGTGTTGAGCCACCTTGCGAATTATTTATCAGATTCAGCCTCAGAACATTAATCTCTTCGCTGTAACTCCAGAGGCTAAGGTGGCGCTGAAACCAGTACTGATATCGGTATTAACCCTTGATTTCAGCAAGCTAAGCATGGTGGGTTCCACCCCTTTTGTTGGTGCAATGAGGGTTTCAGCTTATTGGCACGTTGTTGACATAAGGGAACTCATCGTCGACGTTTCTTTCATCTATCACTGGCGACGGAAGTGTGCCAAACAGTAAAGGTGGGTAATCATATCCGCCAGAAAAACCACTATATGGGAAGAAATGCCAGGAGCACACCTTTCTGATCTCTGGCGGTGATACTACAAAAAGAAGTCTAGGTTAAAGAGGACAATTAGCATCCCAACAATTAGCTCAAAAATTAGTGTATATTCCAGTGGGTGAGTATTCATAGAGGAAGTATGATCAAATGCCAATCGAGGGCTCACCATATCGGGTTTAATATGAGTGCAGTAATATGAGGGGATGCCTGGCAAGAAAGCTAGTGGAGAGGGCTACAGATGATCCTCTTAGAATTTTTCTAGTATGCAATATTAATTGGATTTTTTTCGAGAATATTATCCAAAACCCTACATTTTAAGTTTCAAATTAAAAAATCAGATTCAATTTTTTTTTTTCAATTATCAGGTGATAATTATTATATAAAAAAATCGTGTAAAATTTTTTATCTACTCTCTCAACTCTATATTTCTACTCAGGGGTGGCAACTCGGCTCGGCCCATACACACACGAGCTCGGCTCGGCCCTTGAGTTCGTAGCTCGCGAGCTGGTCAATTTTTTTTTTTTTTAAAAAGAA